TAGTGGGTGTTTATGTAACGAAAGACCAGTGGAATTTTTTCCGGAACTGAAGCCGAGTATGTCTTGTGGGTGATAGACGTCCAAAATGACTTGATGAACAAGGATGATTTTCGCAACAAGGGAACTGCGGCAGCCATTGTTGGACACACGCCTTGATCCGTCCATGTTCATTTCCTCTCACCCTTGAACTGACATTTTACAAGTTAGGTGGTTGGCATAGTGTAGGCCCTTAGAAAACAGTCGAATATTCTTTCGTTTCCAAGGCCTAGTATGGGCAACATGTTTTGATTCTATTAAAAATCGTTAGGTTCCTTAGTCGGGGTCGCTGAACACGGTTGTTTCTGGATATCCGCAAATTCCATTCTTCAGTGAATAGCTGCTTATAGTTCTGCTTTTATTTTTTGCTTGTCTTAACACCGTAGTATAGTGTCATCTTATCCACCTCTGTTTTCGTTTAGTTCTGCTCAGTTTGTTGCAGTTCGTTCTAAATCTGGATGAAAGCAATTTACCATTGGTTGTCGGTCTCGATTTGATTCACAAGGTGAGTTGTACCACCGATCGGTGTAAAATGAACGGTTTTTGATTGTTCATAGACCGGTAATTCCACTTCGTTGATCTATCGGAATGTATAGAGAATGTTCTTATAAGTTTTCTGCGTTTACGAAATTTGGTTTTGGTTGGTATTATTTTTACTGGAACTGAGGTGGGCACTTTCCTGATCGTGCTCTCTACAGTAGACTTTTGAGAAGAAAAACAATCTTGTTTACACTTGGTTCATTTTAAATTATCTTGGTGAAAGTTCTTTGGTTGCATGAATGTTATATTGCGTTATTTACTTGGTACGCGGTACTTTTTCGTTGTCTACCAGTCTTTTCGTCGTCCGCACAACTGTCGCATGTTTCGTCAGGACTATCACCGTATTTTCGCGTGTACGCTGAGACTACTTATTGAGTTAGTGAGTAGTGACGTTTTTATAACGAACAGTTAACAAAACAGAATGCCGGGAGCACCATTTCTTTCTGAATGCAGATTACCGTTTTTGGTAATTCAGTATACCATAATCAATTCACTTTGAATGGTTTATATATCAAACAGGGTCAATTACTTATTAGATATGTATATTCATATATGACAAATAATGGGATTTAGTATAGCCTGATGAAGAGCACTATTGTTTCAGAACGCAAAACGGTTATGTAGACCGTTGACCATAAAGTGACTCGGTTGTGGTTAAATCCGTATGCTTCGTATTTATATTTGTTGTTTCTCTGCGCACTTCTATTTTCATCATTGTCTCATTTTTAATGGTCTACATGAAGAAATTTCCCTTTTGTCTTTTGTGTCTTATAAATTTTGATTTTGGAGGTCTGTGGAGGTTTTGGCGACAAATTACTCGCTCCTCAACTTGGTTGTTCCAAGCCTAATTATGCCATAAATTTTTATTCGGTTATTATCCATTTCTACCTTGTGTTTCCCCAAAACCCCTTACCGATATGTTAAATACCGAATTAATTTTTAACTGAAATCATCCGTTCGGTTAAACCTCGATTGCTAGGTTGAAGTATGGTATGTGAATTGTACCGGATAAAGTTGTCTTATCGTGTAACTGAACTGTGGCGAAGCCATATGTCTGTTCTCTGTTCAAAACCGAGCGCTCAAACCGCATCAACTATGCGCAACGTATTTGCTTCTCTTTGATAAACATTAACGTTTCCCACAAAATATAACATCGTTCTCCTTGAGCTGCCCTGCTTGCTCAATACGATCTAAATTTTCCGACCATTCCAATGATAGGATATAGATTTCTCTGTGGTTCCGATGTGTCGTCGACGAAGTTTTTGAGACAAACACGACGTTATCATTGGCAGATCTTTGGGGCTTGTGGTACCGACGGCTACTGTGCAGCTTTTCCGCTCCATGTGGTAGTGGCATTGACGAAAATGATAGATTCCATGACTTCGGATTTGTAAGAAATAGGATGGTAATTGTTCCGGTTAAATAATTAACTAAATAATTACCGTGTTCGTCAACGTGTATATTGGCCAAAACACATTCGATTTTGTCTGAACGAGTTCTGGATCAAATATTGTATTTGTAATATTCGTTCTGCATAACGTGAACAAAAGGTTTATCCAATGTGTAAACATTGGCTGACTCAAAATTTAAAATAATATTGATCACAGGACGTTTTGTGGTTATCAAACCAGTCATATAATGCTTATTTCTATAGAGTGGCCCGTCGCTAAACGATCAAAGTACCTGAAGAAACCCGTCATAGGTAACAGAAATATCGGTAAAAATCACGAGTTTATTTGATTGCATTCATTGATGTGAACAACTAAGGCTCAGTATCGATTGGTTTTACGAAACTCTCATGCGGACAACCGATCACGAGGGTGAGCGCTTGTCGACTGAACACAACCGAGCACGAGGAGGCAGGTTCATTACGGTTGATCTAAGCGGTGTCATGTGCAAACAAATTGGATCGGCATAAAAGCCGTCACACACACACACACCAAGCAGGTGATGAGCTGCAGTTTATCGCACAATCGTGTAGAGTCGGGACAGACGGATAACAAAATGATAGTTAGACACAGTTGGGAAGAGAGAGAAGCAAGGCTGGATCGTTTAAGATTCGAGATGAAATGGCCCATATAGTGTTCAGCCTAGAGCATGAATCACGCGAACTGGGTTGAGGTAAGACGAATCGAAAGAAACCTGTTATTAAATGCAACGCTGACGTAGCTCTAAGGGGTTCTATTAATCGTGCTTGTTTAAGCCGAGTTGAGTACTGCTGGAACCGCTAAAAGTATGAAAGGCTATGAGAAATTGCAAAATGTGAAAGAACGCAGAAGCACAATTTTGAATGTGAATCGTCTTTCACGGGACTAGAAATATCGTGTATTCTAGAGATAAGCGAAATCAAAGATTGTAGGGAGCAAGTTTATTTTCGGTTGTACTAGACGTGGTTATTTCAACGCACATCATGAACAGTGGAGCTGTTTCATCCACTTTTTGAATTGGTGTATCACTTTCCTGTCCGATTTTCCCGTTCGCTCGACAACCAAATAACACTCCACGTAGGTTTTCATTTTCTCTCGCCTCGAGCGATTGGTGTCAGTTGATTTCAGACATCGTTAATGTTGCCCTGTGGCTCTATGTTCTAATCACGCTGTTTCCCATTTCAGGTATTGGAGGTTTTCAATATGTGCATTCTTCAAGGGGACAGCTTTTTGCAATCTGCGGGTGTGTACGATGATCTGTATTACGAACTGATCCGAATGCACAATTTGTTCCAAAATTTGCACGAACATGGGGAGCATTGGTTGTGGTTCTATCATTTCCAATACGGGGTTATTCTTTTATGACCGTTTTCTTTTATACCTTCGTCTGGGCAAAATTGCGTCTGTACTTTGTCATATGCCCCAAGGATCCAAAATGATTTACGCTCTTTCCGAGACCGAATGACAAGAAGCACTAACTGGTGATCAAGTCAGAAAAAAATTTATTGCTGAATACGAAACAGCTTGTCCCAAGGGTCCTTACAATAAGATTTTTGACCTTCTCCCTGTGTGGAATTCCTTCCTTTCAGTGATTCTATTTGATCTCTGTTTGTGAATGCCACAATACACTTCATTGTGTATGACCTCACCCCAACACCAACAGATGCGAAGTCTGCTCTTCGATACCAAACTTGGGACCCCCAGC